AACTGGGCTTCATCTTTCCATCCCTGAGCAGAAGGCATTCTTAACTAGTCCAGCTAGTTAGACAACTTGGCTCCTCACTAAGAGTACCAGCGATGAAGAGCTCAGGACTTTGACCTGGAGTCTAGAACTTCATCTCCCATTCCTCGTTTAGTATACTCATTCATTCAATAAATATTTATAGAGCACTACAGCACACTGTAGTCTATACTAGTTGCTAAGAATTCAGCAGAGAACAAGACAAATAGGATCCCTGCCCTCAGGGAGTTGATAGTCTGATGGTAATAGGAGATGGGGAAGGCAATCGGTAATTTACTAGACAGACACTTAATTTGTAGTCAGTGCTCCAAAGTAAATTCACAGAGTGAAGTGGTATACAGAAACTGTGAAGGATCAAGCTGTCTTTTTTCTCCCCTGCCTTCTCTTTCCAAGCCATCCTGCTCACATTTAGCAAACTTAACATCCCAAAACCACTACTTCTATCTTTTCTCGTCTCCCCTTCAGGAGCCTAAAATGGTACCCGCCATGTCAAGTCTCTTTCTCTGCCTGACTTCTGTGGGCCTCCAGATACCAGCGCCCCCCACATTCACCAAGCTCCTCCTCTTCCCGTTCGTACCCTATGTGCCTCAGCCCAAAGCACACTCCCCACAGCCTTCTGTGCCATTCTTGCCCTTGCATTTTTCAAGAGCTGTCATTGGTCATTCATCCTGTCGTTGGTGCTAAGTTTGCCAGACACCCTCTTGTTGATAGGGGTGCAAAGTTGGATTGGACTTGGTTACTCTCTGCCCTTGAAGAGCCAATGGAGCTGATTCTTCCACAGAACCCCTGAATACATAGCTACGACCCTTTTCCTCTGCCCCACCAACTCCCTTTGGAGACCACGACAACACACCTGGGCACCTGAGTTCACTGCTGGATTCTGTACCTACCAATCCTGACTCTTCAACAAAAAAAGCTTATAAAAGGCCTGAGTCATCCTGTGCTTTTCCTTCTGAACTCCCTGTGACTTCAGTTCTGCAATTAGTTGCTTTTAGCTTCAGGAAGTCCTTTCTTATGTCTCTCTTAAATCACGTCTACATCACTGTGCACTTATTTATTAGAATCTTATTCTTCATGGCTTTAGGGCAGAGCTTCAGCACCCTGCTCAACGCTGGGTCTCTGCTAAGTGTTCACGAAGTGCCTGTCACTTGATTAGTAAGTGCCTGGTACTTAAAAATCATTATTTGATTCCCTCCTCCAGGTTCTTCCCTCCAGACTTAAAACTGCGGCTCCTTAAACCTTTCTTCTCCAGCCACTTAATCATCATGTGACACTTCTCAAATTCTGGTAATCAGCTTTTTTTTTTCTTTATTTTTAAATGATTGGTGAGAGTTTTAAAGAAGGCCCTTAAACCAGAAGCAAAAAAAGAAAATAGAAAATTCAGAAAGGTTGTGCCAGGGCGATTGAGTTCAGCTTCCTGTCTTTGGTCCGGCAGGCCCTTCTGCCAGCTAATAAATCAGCCCAGCTGCCCCAGCTCGGCACAGTCGTCCTATCCTCTGATCTGAATGCGCACTGCAGAAAAACTAGATTTGGAGGGATAAGCGCATAGCCTGCGGCCCCGTCAGTACCCTTCTCCAAAATGCTGCTAGTCACTGTGGTCAGAAAACTCCAGACCAGCGCAAAATTTGGTTGGGTGGCTGAATTTAGGCAACTTTTCATTCTTCCTTCCAGTGCCATTTCCTAGTGAGTCTGCAGATTTTCAGGAAATTTTAGGTGCCGTGTGAGCGTGTGTGTGTGTGTGGGTGTGTGTGTGTGTGTGAAAGAGAAAGAGAGAGAGATGACCTCAGATACACTAATTTGCACTAAAGTGTTACTGACTTACCATGCAATGCCTTTCAAGCACTTTTGCCACATACCTCTAATGTCATACAAGAGAGAAGGTGGACACCAAGGAGGGGTGTGGCCTTTAAGCCATCTGTCCAAGAAGACATTGAAGTTATCATTAAACACTCAGATGATTTCTTTCTTTCTTTTTTTGAGACACAGTTTCACTGTTGCCCAGGCTGGAATGTGGTGGTGCGATCTCAGCTCACTGTAACCTCTGCTTCCTGGGTTCAAGCAATTCTTGTGCCTCAGCCTCCTGAGCAGCTGGGATTATAGGCATGCGCCACTATGCCCAGCTAATTTTTGTATCATTAGTATAGGCAGTGTTTCACCATGTTAACCAGGCCGGTCTCAAACTCCCAACCTCAAGCGATCTGCCTGCCTCAGCCTCCCAAAGTGCTGTGATTACAGGTGTGACACCACACCCGGCCCCATGTGCTTTTTATTCTTCTCCAAGCTATTTCTACATAAGCTGATTTTCTAAAAATGGAAAAATATCATTGTTATGACAATAGTAATGCATTTGAATGCATAATACAGATAATGCAGGACAAGATATCAAGAATAATGTAAAAACTACCAGAAATCCCAACCCCTGATGTGATATTTTAAATGTTTTCCCCTTCTACACTATTTTCTAAGACATATTCCTTGTTTTAATGTAACAAAAACAAGTTTGAAATTACTTACCACTGCATAAAAAGATTCTGGCTTATTTTTGTGGTAGCATCAGGTCCAGGCCCTGGGGAATTGGCCCAGCCTGATTTCCACTTTGAAAAGCTGGCATTCAGGTGTAACCTCTCCAGGAACCATGGCCATTTCAGAAGAGGAGGGAAGAGACAGGGCAGAAGAACTTTCTGGAAATGTACTGCATGGGCACTTTAGGGAGGAGTGGGGTGCTTTCCTGCCTTTGCTCAAGTCACCCACAGGCAGCAGGCAGCCATCAGCGTGGATGATGTCTTTTGCAGTGTGCTGGTGTTTCCCTGAATGACCTACCTACAAACCTAGATTCATCTTCCTTGCCGGGAAGTTTCACCCTCCTTCAGCAAAGCGCTAAACACGCCAATTTCCAAAGAAGTGTTTTCTTTCTTTCAGGCACGAAAATTAATGAGCTCCATCTTTGGCATGGCTTAGAAAATTCCACTGTGGCATTGGCAGGGTTTATGCAGCATCAGAACTTTAAAGGAACCCCGCCCGCGCTGAACGCTGCGTGGAACAAAGGTAAGGCAGATTTGTCTGATTTCCTCGCCCACAGTGGGGAAGAGACGGGGGAAAGGAGGCAAGAACAAATCACCTGGCTAGGAGAGGTGTGTCCAGTCGGAGGAGGTGCTTTCCTGACTTCTTTTCAGAACGTGTCTCCACAGGCAGCACAATGCCCTCCTTATTCCCCCATCCTCACACCACGGTGGCCGACTTGGAGCCTGACGGGCAGTGGCAAGCTTTCAGATCTGTGGCCGACGGGCACATCTTGGACGGATTCCTTCAGCCACTGGGGTGGGAACAAGCGGCACTCGCCTTACAATCTCTCCTTGTTGTGATGAACTGGCAGATTGAACTAAATACATACAACGTGTGGCCTGATTGTCAATAAGTGCTTGTTCATTCATTCAGTTAATGATTTTTGAGCACCTACTGTGCTCCAGGGTCTGGGCATACAGCAGTGAACAAAACAGACACAAAGCCTCTCCACAAGAAGGTGTGGGCTGGGGTGGACAGTCAGCACAAAACCAAGACCATTTCGAGTACTCATAAAACAGGGTGATAGGACTGAGTGGGAGGAGGCTATTTTGGGATGCTTAGGAAAAGCTCCAAGAGACAGGGGAGCTGAAATCTGAGTCACCGAGGGAACCAGCTGTGAGAAGATGCAGGAGCAGAGGTCTTCTAGGCGCAGGGATCGGCACGTGCAAAGGCCCTGAGGCAGGAATGGATTTGACAATCTTAGGAACTGAGTGCAAGCTAGTGAGGAAGTAGTGCTCATGAGCAAGGGGTTAAGAGGTCAGAAGCAAAGGCAAGGGCTGGATTTATAATTTATTATGTGAAGCATTACAGCTAACATTGTAGTGTTTTATAGTTTGCAGAGGGCTTTTTTCTTTTCTTTTTTTTTTTTTTTTTGAGACCGGGTCCTGCTCTGTTGCCCAGGCTGGAGTACAGGGGTGCCATCACATCTCACTGCAGCCTCTACCTCCCAGGCTCAAGTGATTCTCCTCCCTTAGCCTCCCAAGTATCTAGAAATAGAGGTTCATGCCACCATGTCCGAATAATTTTTAAAAATTTTTTCTGTAGAGACAGGATCTCACTCTGTAGTTAGGCTGGTATTGAACTCCTGGAATCAAGCAATCTTCCTGCCTCAGCCTCCCAAAGTGTCGTGCTTATAGGTGTGAGCCACCGCAACCTACCTGCAGAGGGCTTTGAACATACACTATCCTAATTCACTCATCCCAGCAAACTGATTATATAGATAAGGAAACTGAGGCTCAGGAAATAACTTATTTTAGGTCATAAAAGGAGGAAGTAGTGGGACAGGGACTTTGACCAAGGACTCCGTTTGCACAGCTCCAGAGTTGCTGTAGACCACCATAAGCACTTGCCTTTAGCAGCTCATAATAAAAAAAAAAAAGAACATTTTTCATTCTATCATTTAAAAAGTAAGTCTGGATGTGGTGTTGTAATCCCAGCACTTTGGGAGGCTGAGACTGGATGATTACTTGAGCCCAGGAGTTTGAGACCAGTCTGGTCAACATAGGGAAGGCCCCGTCTCTACAAACAATAATAAAAAAAAATTAGCTGGGCATGGTGGTGCACGCCTACAGTGACTCAGGAGGTTGAAGCCGGAGGATTGCTTGAGCCTGGGAGGTCAAGGCTGTAGGGAGCCATGTTCGCAACCCTGCACTCCAGCCTGGGCTACAGAGTGAAACCCTGTCTCAAAAAAAAAAAAAGTAGAATCACATAGGTAAAATTTTGATGAATTTAAGAAGAGAAAAAAAATATCTATAATCTCATCTGCAAAACACAACCACTTGCACATTTTAGTGCATTCTTTCTAGTTTTTTTCCCCTAGAAAAACCTAGGGTGTGTGTGTGTGTGTGTGTGTGTGTGTGTGTGTATTACACATTACACATATACACATCACATATCCATATATGTGTATGTAATCAACTTTATTGAGATGTAATTTACATGCTTTAAAATTCACACATTAAGTGTACAAGTCAATGAATTTTGACAAATGTATGCACCTCAGTAATCATCACCATGATGGAGATCTAGAATATTCCCTTCGTCCCACAGAGTCACCTGTGCTGTTTAGCCTGTTCTCTGATCCCCGACTCCAGGCAGTCATTGCCCTTATTTCTGTAGCCTCAGATCGGTTTTGCCTATTCCGGGACTTCATGTAAATGGAACCATGTGTTTGCTCTGTTATGTCTGGCCTCTGTTGCTCAGCATAATGTTTTTGAAGTTTATCATGTTATTATATATGCATCAATAGTTTGTTCCTTTTGTTGCTGATTAATATTTCATTATAAGAATGTACATTCGCCTGTTAATGGATGTTTGGGTGTTTTTGGCTTGGGGCTATAACAAATAAAGTTGTTATGACCATTCCTGCACAAATCTTTTTTTGGACATGTTTTCTTTTTTCTTATTTATTTATCGTAGAGATTGGGTCTTGCTATATTGCCCAGGCTGGTCTTGAGCTCCTGGCCTCAAGTGATCCTTTTGCCTCCCAAAGTACTGAGATTACAGTCATTAGCCCCCACCCCCAGCCTGTAGACATGTTTTCATTTGTCTTGGGTAACTACCCAGGAGTAGAAAGCTGGGTCATAGGGTAGGTCTTTATGTTTAGTTTTACAGGAAACTACTAGACAATTTTTCAAAGTGGTTATATTATGTTACATTATGTGAGCATTCCAGTTACCCTGCACCTTTTTCAACACTTAGTGTTGTTGCTCTTTTTAATATTAGCCATTCTGGTGAGCATGCAGAGGTTTTAATTTGCATTTCCCTTATCACTAATGATGTCAAACATTTTTTTCACAGGTAAGTGTTTTTTTTGGTTTGCTGGTTTGTTTTGTTTGAGATGGAGTCTTGCTCTGTCACCCAGGCTGGGGTACAGTGGCATGATCTCAGCTCACTGCAAGCTCTGCCTCCCAGGTTCAAGCTATTCTCCCACCTCAGTCTTCCAAGTAGCTGGGATTACAGTCATGCGACACCACATGACTAATTTTCAATATTTTTAGTAGAGATGGGGTTTTGCCATGTTGGCCAGGCTGGTTTTGAACTCCTGACCTCATGTGATCCACCTGCCTCAGCCTCCCAAAGTGCTAGGATTACAGGTGTGAGCCACCACACCTGGCCAGGTAAGTGTTTTTATAGTTGTAATTCTTTTTCTAGAGGCAGAACTAAAGGCTGTTTGAGGCCAATTTTTGAGTCCTGGGTAATGCTGCAAATGTTGATACTGTTGTTGATGCAATGCTCTGGTACAGTAGACTTCATTCTTCCTCTAACCAAGTTGAACAGTGGAGGGAAACAACTCTGGGTGCCATACTGCCCAAGAGTGATTTGTGTGAATGACCAGCCAAGCAGAGAGTGGATCTTTTCGGTGGCAACAGCAGAATTTCAGTACATGCTGTGTCTGACTGGAAGGCTGGAACTGGACTTGAAGAGGACTTTCTCACCATAGGGTGTTTTCATTTGGATCTCTCCAGGAGGTCTGATGGTGATGATGATGATGATGATGATAAGGTGGAGATCGTGGAAGGGGTTAGGGTAGAAATTAAGGCCACTGCAAAGGCAACAGCAGAGTTGGATTAATCCTACTGTAGTGCAGATGTGAGGCTGGGCATAGCACAGAACTGAGCAGAGCACCTAGGACAGCATCTTAATCCTACCATAGTGCAGGGGTGAGGCTGGGCATAGCACAGCACCGAGCAGAGCACCTAGGACAGCATCTTAATCCTACCATAGTGCAGGGGTGAGGCTGGGCATAGCACAGTACTGAGCAGAGCACCTAGGATAGCATATTAATCCTACCATAGTGCAGGGGTGAGGTTGGGCATAGCACAGTACTGAGCAGAGCACCTAGGATAGCATATTAATCCTAAGAGGCCAACAGATATCCCTAGCGAGCCTTCATGCATCCAAAACTCCCCCAAGAGCAGGAACAAGAGCCATATTTTATGTGGTGCTAGCTCCACCTCCACATGCTTATTCCAGGAGGAACTGTCCAGGGAGATGGAAAGAATCTGTGTAACAAATCAGTCCCCTGGAGGTAGCACATTCAGGCCTCCCTGTGCAGAAGAAAAGGCCTTTGGGCCAGGTTGCCAGGCCTCCCCCTGAGCCTATCAGCTCATGTGCTTCCTCAAGAGATTCTTGATGATACTCCAAAGGCCAACCAGCAGAACACCTCCATCTGCCCTGAGACCTGACACTCACCAGTTCCCAGATGTTCTGAATTGTACCAAGCCAGTTTACATACTTTCTCCGTCTGAATGCGAACTTATAAAGAACAGTCGCCATTTCTTATTTATAGAGTCTTAGTTTGGGTTCCCGCTGAAGCAAACCTGAAACAAGGATTTGAGTGGAAGTAGTTTATTTGCAAGTTGATCCCAGGAAACATAGGTAGTGGAGTGGGGAGGTGAGGCAGGGGATGGGGGCAGCAATATGAGGTGTATTAGCAAGCCAGTTGCCACTATGGACACTGATATGGTTTGAATATTTGTCCCCTCCAAATCTCATGTTGAAAAGTGATTGCAATTTTGGAGGTGGGGCCTGGTGGGCGGTGTTTGGGTCCTGGGAGCAGATCTCTTGTGACTGTCTTGGTGCTGTCTTCATGATAGTGAGTTATTGTGAAATCTGGTTGTTTAAAAGTGTATGGTACCTCCTCCACCTCATTCCCACTCTTGCCATGTGATGCACTGGCTCCCTGTTTGCCTTCTGCTGTAACTGTCAGCTCCTTGAGGCCTCACTGGAAGCGGAGCAGATGCTGGCATGATGCTTCCTGAACAGCCTGCAGAACTGTGAGCCAATTAAACCTCTTTTCTTTGGAAATTACCAAGCCTTGGGTATTTATTTATAGCAACAGAAGAATGGCCTAGCCTAGGCATGTAAGGCTCGGTCCTGTGGGTCCTCTGGGACACAGTGCAGAACATGCCTCCAAGTTATTCCACCTGAGCAGGGAGGGAGCTGGGGTATTTATCCACCAACTGCTAATAGTCACTGAATGAGGACATTCCTGGGAGGTTTTAATTTCTGGAACTTGCAGCTGCCCTTCTTGTAGGCAGGGTGGACTCCAGCAGCTGGAGAAAGCCCCCAAGCAAAGATATGCAGGTGCTGACAGCTGGGAGTCAGGCTACCTTTGTACAATGAAGTTGCAAGGCTAAGAGGGTATGGGCAGGGTGCTGACAATGTCAGCTGTGCTTCCCCAGTGAACAGATCCTCAGTAAAGCATGCCACTGAACCCCGAGAGCTCAGCCAGCTTTGGCCCCGAAGCTACAGCTCCTGTTTATTCTCCAGCAACCCCTGAATACTGCTGTCAGCTGGCAATATTATTGCAGGGTCGAACCTAAGTGACCAGCACCCTTACATGTTCTTAAAGTGTATAGTCCCAGAGCAAGCAGCCTCAATGTCACCTGGGAACTTGTAAGAAATGTGAATTATTGGGTCCTACCTGAGACCTACTGAATCAGAAACTCTGGCAGTGGGGCCCAGGAATCTGTATTTTAACAAGTCTTCCAGGTCATTCTAATGCAACCTGAAGTTTAAGAGCCACTGTTTTGGGCTCTAAAACTTAGGGCAACCCAGCAGTTTCCAAAGTGAAGCCATTTGCTGTCGGTTAGAACTCCTCCACCCACAATCCCAAGCACCAACGGCAAAAGTGGATGGGGCCTCCAGAAACATGTAATACTTTGCCCCCTTTTTTGAGTTTCTCTTTTCTTTTTAGGCTTAGTAAATATACATTGTACCAAGTTATCAATTACCAATAATGGAAAGTAGCCCAGGCATATATACTATAGAAGATAACCCAAAAGACACCTGTGTTGAATTTAACTTGAAGGTGGGAGGATTTATATTTCTGCTTGTTTTCCTAAGCTAATATTTAAGTTAATTCTCTTGGCTTGAGTCCCTACCAGATGGGCAGTAGGGGGGAAGTCACGGGTGTATCAGTAGAAGAAAAACCTGCCCTGGGATTTTAAGTCTATCACAGAAGATGTACAGGGAGCTGGGGGTACCCGCGGAAGTCACTGTGTGTGGGAAACTATGAAGGATGTGCTTGGTTTAACTGAACTGACCCAGGCCCGGGGAGAATAGGAACCGCAGCAGCAGATGAATCCAGCAGTCTTCCAGACTGATGCGTTCCTACAGCAGACACCCCTCACTCCTTCCAGCAACCCCAGCTGAGAACAGCACCTAGACAGGCCCATTTCTTCTGGAGAGGCTCTTCTCGCTCCTGCTCTGCCCTGTGCCCTGATGCCAGCAGCCACAGCAGCCCTTCTTGTTCCCACCCCCAACGTGTGCTGTGACATCACAATGTAGTCCATTCAGGATCTCCAGACTGATTTGCCCTGTGGGCCTAGGACCTAAGCTCAACCTCTTGCCTGCAGTTCCAGTTCCAAGGTGACCAGGACAAACTGCCAGCCGCCACTGGCTTATCAGGAGTACCTGGTGAGTATTCGGAACTTCCCCAAGCAGGTGGAAGGAGATACAGCCAGTAGCTGGCTGGCTTAGCACTTTGGGATCTCATTCTCACACAGGTTTAGATGGGCCAAACTGGTGGCCAGGGGTTTGCCAGGACAAACCCCAGACTCTTTCTAGGAAAGCTGACTCACTGGATGGACACACCCCTCCCGAGACTCCTGCTGGGTCACCATCTGCGGGAGACGGTGCTCTAGTCTTCCCTAGACTCAGCTTACCACCTGTGCCAGCTCCCTGGGCAAGGGTCACCTGTGTTCTTAATAGACAGGGCAGAGAGGCCAGGCTCTCAGATAGCAATTTCACTGGAGCACCACTTCTAGCCCTAACTGGGGTCAGGGACAGCCACTGGCCAAATGACACACCACATAGTAGCAAGACCAGAGGTCGCTGGCGCAGCTACTGGCGCAGCCACCTCCCGTCCAAAATGTGTACGACGGTCCTTGCTTTCTGTAAAAGGCCTTCCTGCTTTGGGTGTTTTTAAATCTACCTCCTGATGACCCTCTGGTATATATATGATTGGTTCCTTTCCTCTGGGACAGTAAGAGAGCTTTGGGATGGTGACAGGAAATGAGTAGATGGATTAGGACACCAGGAAAGTGGGCAAAATCTAAGATGGAGGGGCCTGGGACAGGGGCTACAGCCATCTCTCAAAGAGGATGCTGGCTCTTCCCAGCTGGGCCACCCGCACTCAGTTGAGCGTGCTTTGAGGCCCAAGGCCTTCTACATCAAATAGTGGGGACCCACTCTGGGCCCCAGGAGGCACAGCCACCTCTCCACCTGTTCCTGTTCCCTGTGGTCTGTCCCTGGTCCATTCACCATCTGTGAGTGCCAACACGTCCACACAGTGCAGCAACGTCCCTTCTCTCACACAGGAGTGGCTTCTGTAGGGACCCTTTGATTTTGAGAAGGCTCCTGGCTCACCCTGACTGTAAGGTAGAAAGAGAGGCGGGGGTGGGTGATAAGAGAAATCTCTTACCCTTAGGCTTTGCCAACCCTCCTTAGTCTTAAATATGATGGGCTGAAGCTAACCTCTGCTTCACACACAAGTCCAAGACACCAGTGGTTTATCAAGCATGGTAAGAACATTTTAGCCCATCTTAGGCATCACTGGAAAAGGAAAAAAAAAAAAACAGTAGAGGGGAAGTGTGAGAGCAACCTGTGGTCTCCGACCTGCAGCAGGTTCAATTTGGAGAGGAGAAAGAGAGCAAATGCTGCACTTCCTGGGCCAGACCCGCCACCTGCGTGATTGCTGGTTTTTATTTTTATTTATTTATTTATTTTGAGACAGAGTCTCACTCTGTTGCCAGGCTGGAGTGCAGTGGTATGATCTAGGCTCACTGCAACCTCCACCTCCGGGGTTCAAGCGATTCTCCTGCTTTAGCCTCCTGAGTAGGTGGAACTACAGGTGTGTGCCACCACACCCTGCTAATTTTTGTATTTTTAGTAGTGACGGGGTTTCACCATGTCGGCCAGGATGGTCTCGATCTCTTAACCTCATGATCCTACCGCCTCAGCTTCCCAAAGTGCTGGGATTACAGGCGTGAGCCACTGCACCTGGCCATTATTGCTCTTAATTCTGACCTCTGTGAAGCAGGTGTTCTCAGATTCATTCTACAGACATGGAAACTGAAGACTGTTCTGTGCTGGGCTCCACATTAAAGAGGGACATTAACCTGGGACATACATTCGCTCTCTATTGACGGTCTCCAAAATTAGAGCTCTCTGAAAAGAGAATGGGCTGCTTTGCAAGGCAGCGAGAGTATGCAGGCCAGGGCTCTTCCGTCAGCATAGAAAGGAACAGGATTCTTGTGATCAGCTTGGGAGCTGGACCAAAAGATCTTTAAAGGCTGTTTCCAAATCCATGATTGTAGGATTCTGGGTATTAATAGTTTGCCCGCCATCTGCAATTGAACCCAGATGGTCACGCCTTTAAGGGGGCTGCAAACTTTCTATTAGGCAGGGAGAGTTAGAAGGAACCATAGAGATCGGCTATGGGCCCGGGGTGGGAAAGACGGACCCAGGCTGGTCGAGGGATTTTTCCGAGTCTGCAGAGCCAATTTGCAGAGTCCACCTGTGTTGACTGAACAAATGGAGGAGCCAGGCCTGAGTGCTGATCAAACGTCCCTGTGCCCATCTCTCTTGTTCACCTGGCTCTCTCCTATCAAGATTATGATTCAGCCACCATTTATGGAGCTCCTACTGCACGCCGAGTGTGTTTCTAGAGATGATTTCACTTACTCCTCCCCAACTCCACCAGGTGGGTGCCCTCCGCCATGTTTCTCAGATAAGCATGGTTAGGTAACCGCCCCAGAGGTTCAGGTACTTGTGGAGATGTCACAAATACTAAATGACAAAGCAGGTCTTGCTAATCCCAAGGAAAACTTATGTCTCCATCTGCCACCTCCCAGCTTGCGTGAGGAGTCACTTTCCTTTCTTATCTTCTCCCTAAGACAAACTGCCATCAACATGCCAAGCTCCATGGTGGCTGTTTCCAGCCCCTCCTGGACACTGCCCTGACAGATGCTGAACTCCCTGTGGGCCCGCTTGGTTTGCTGGCCTGGCCCCTCGCTCTGACGGGACGAGATGGAGCGATGTCTATACACAGACAGATGTTATGCACCGAGGAAGAAAATCTGCTAATCGAAAGCAGCTTCAGCTAATTGTGGCATCCTCCCTTCCGCGTGGTGCCCTGAAATAGTAGCCACGCTCTGTTCCTTTTTCACAACAGGGAGCCCCAATTGGCAATTTAAATGATGTTGCAAAGAAGTCAGTTACACAGACCTCTGCTGCCAGTTTCCATGGGTGAGGCCTTGCTGATGCTCCTTGGATAAGACCTGTATGCAACTGTCTGTGGACTTGGCTTCTTGCTGTGGATAATTTGGACTCGCTGTTGGGCTGGAAGAGCCTCAGTTAACCCTGGGGAGAACTGGAGGCTCCAGAAATTTAATGGAGTACTAAGCCCAAGAGCACATGATCTGACCTTGAACTCTGGTTCTGACCTGCTTCTGATTTATTCTATAGCCATCTCAGCCAACAGAAGTTTCTTCTGTCAGGGGAATATTCTATCTCTGTGTTGTACAATATGATACCACGAGCCACACAAGGCCACTGGGCACTTGGAATATGGCCAGTGGGACTGAGGAGCTGCCCTTGTTGTTTCAATAGCAGCTTAGATTACACAGCCGTGGGTGGCCGGTGGCTGGTGTGCTGGACGCTGCTGCTCTGGCCCCTGCTGACTTTTGTGACTTCATCTCTGATCTCATTCCCCTCCCCTGGCTTTCTCCTTCCCTCTGCCTTCACTCCCAGACCTCCTGCATGTCTCGATTTTTGCATTTGCTGTTCCCTCTGCTGGCATCACTTTTTCCTCTGATCATTTTATGGTTTGCCCTTGTTCAGCAGGAGGGCCTTGGATCAAGTGCATATCTTTAGAAAGACCGTCCCTATTTTATCGAATAGCGCCCCCAGCCCCACTCCAATTGCTCCTTATGTCTCTGAAGTTATCATGTTTGTGGCTTTTCTTGTCTACTGCCCTCTCCCTGGGTAAGGATACCAGTTTCACCAGAGCAGGGATGCGATCTGTCCTCTCCCATTCCAGCTCTGTGTCTGGAACAGCGCCTGACAGGCAGGAAATGCTCAGCACGGTGCGCAGGGCATGTGAACACCCTGCAGGACAGCCCCCACTTCAGTGAGGAGGAAAGGCAGTCGCAGCCCCAGTACTTTCTGCTGTTTGACAAAATAACGTGAGCACAGCGGCCTAGAACAGCAAAGATTTGTGCTTTCTCCCAATTCTCTGGGTCTGAAATGTGAGCAGAACTCAGTTCCACATTGTGTCAGTGAGGGTTACTCGGCTGAGGGCTGGGCTGGATGGGATGTGTTTTCCTTTCTCCCATATATCCCTGGATAAGGGTTTGTGGTCCTCTGCAGCACTACTCCTGTGAGGGCCCATGGGCACCTAGAGTGCCCGAGCCCTGCCTGGGACATGCCTCTCACTGCTGCATGCCTGAGGGAACAATTGAGAGGTACAGAAAGCCACATGGGTCTGTACTTAGGAAAACACAGCCACCCAACTGGCAAGGTGGTGGCATTGTTGAGGTTGAAGGGGCTCAAAGATTGGCCAAATCCAGAGAGTCAGCACAGACAGACACCAAGAGTGCCAGGCTGAAGGGTGAAGGGAAAGGAAGGTCCCTGGAGCCAAGTACACACTTTAAATCCAGGGAGAGATTGTGGGTCAGAGCTGGGGCGTGCTGACATGAGGGTGATCATTACAGCAGCATTACCTTTGAGACCCTCATTAGTCTGGGCATTTCATTTGAGCTCATTCTAAGCCACTCAGTGATCCGGCTCAGAAATGATCATGACCCATACAGATCAAGAAGAGAAAAGTAGCTGTTGGTTAGTTGGCCGAACTCACAGGTATGAGCTAAACACGAAGGATTTAAGCTCTGGCTCTTTTCCTGGCCAAGTATATAATCTTGGGCATGTTACTAAACTGTCTAAGTCTCCATTTCCTCATCTGGCAAATGGGGCTCAGATACGTTCCCACAGCATAGCTTTGTTATGAGGATTAAATAGGATATCTGTGAATTAGAAGACACGCAGCCCATCCGTAGCAGGGGATCCTTATGTGAAGGTGGGAATGGAGAGGTGGGAACAGATCCACCAAGTAAAGGGCAAGACCAAGATCAAACATGGGTCCAGCCGGCTGCACAGTGGCTCCTCTTGCCTCTTCACTGCCACTAAGAGAGGGGTGGCATTCAATGAGCAGATGGCAGTGGCTCAGAGTGCAGATCAGTGCAAAGGGCTCTCTCAAGTCTTCTCTGCAAAGGAGGAGGGATGGCATATGTGTGTCTTTGGTCATTTCCAGGTGACTCTATCCAAAGTCCATGCAGGAAAATAGATGCTGTGAGCAAGATGGAATATGCATATCGAAAGGTCTAGAGAAGAGCCAGGGCCCCAGACATGACTGATCAACATCTAAATGCCACCAACACTCAAGGGCCACACAGTGGGAAGAGACCAGGGACTACATTTTGGCACTTTCAGATGGGTTTGCAAGCACTGGAAATCAAACCTTCACCGGGATATGCTTTTGAGATGAAAATCCCAGCAGAGATTTCAGGGAAGATGCTGGGAGTAGCGTGTGGCCCCTCGGCAGGAAGGTGGAAGCACAGCAGAATAGCAGTCCCTGTTTGTAGACGTTTTTCATGGGGAAGGTCAGAACATGTCCCAGGGAAACCACATCCAAGGTTCAAGATGAGAACCACCTGACGCATTTTTTTTTTTTTTTGAGTCTGAGTTTTGCTCTTGTTGCCCAGGCTGGAGTGCAGTGGCATGATCTTGGCTCATTGCAACTTCTGCCTCCCAGGTTCAAGCTATTCTGACTCAGCTTCCCGAGTAGCTGGGATTACAGGCATGTGCCACCATGCCCAGCTGTTTTTTTTTTTTTTGTATTTAGTAGAGATGGGGTTTCATCATGTTAGTCAGGCTGGTCTCAAACTTCTGACCTTAGCTGATCTGCCCACCTTGGCCTCCCAAAGTGCTGGGATTACTGGCATGTACCACTGAGCCCACCCCAGCCAAGATTGTTTCCTAAGAATCAAAACTTGACTACAGGCTGAGTCGGGTGGCTCATGCCTGTAATCCCAGCACTTTGGGAGGCTGAGGCAGGTAGATGACTTGAGGTCAGGAGTTTGAGACCAGCTTGGTCAACTTGGCAAAACCCCGTCTCTACTAAAAATAATAATAATAATAATAATAATAATAATAATGAAAAGCATTAGGCAGCTGTTGTGGCACATGCCTGTGATCCCAGCTACTCAGGAGGCTGAGTCAGGAGACTCATCTGAACCCAGGATGTGGAGGTTGCAGTGAGCTGAGATCATGACACTTCCCTCCAGCCTGGGCGACAGAGTGATGCATCTCAAAACAAAAACAAACAAACAAACAAACAAACAAACCCTTAACTACAGAGCCTGGTAACCTGAGATCCCCAATCCCCAAAACCTGAAGTATGATGTCCAATTGTATTTATATGTGCAAGGGGGCATTTTTCTTGAAGGAAAGTCTGTAGCAGGAGAGGCGAACTGTGGAATGGCTTTGTTTGTTGGGGCCACATAGCATTATAAATATTTGAATGACTTCCCAACATTTAAAAATTGGGTACCAGTATGGAAAAATCTAAATGTTGGGCTTCTCTTGAAAAGACTCACAAGGTCCGGTCACATGGGACCCACATTCCAGAAAGAGGTGGCCTCCTTTAGATGGGGTGTGGGAGCTCAGTCAGCTACATGGTCCGCAGCACTTTTGTGACCTCCCCGGTGGATGTCCAATGTTAATCCTTATTTATTCACACTCTTGCCCTGTTTTCCTCACTGTTTTATTTTTTAAATTTGCCTGGTCCTTAATTTTCATTTGCAACCCATGATTTGAACTTTTAATTGATGCTTAAAGGGTGGCTGATTTCAAGAAGGTCATTGAAACAGATCTTTTTTTCCAGCTTAAACTCTTTTCCAACAATCCAGAGTTGAAACTGACCCTTAGGCCTGGCGCAGTGGCTCAAGCCTGTAATCCCAGCACTTTGGGAGGCCGAGGCAGGTGGATCATAAGGTCAAGAGATCGAGACCATCCTGGTCAACACGGTGAAACCCCGTCTCTACTAAAAATACAAAAAATTAGCTGGGCATGGTGGCGCGTGCCTGTAATCCCGGCTACTCAGGAGGCTGAGGCAGGAGAATTGCCTGAACCCAGGAGGCGGAGGTTGCGGTGAGCTGAGATCGCGCCATTGCACTCCAGCCTGGGTAACGAGCGAAACTCCCATCTCAAATAAAAAAAAAAGAAACTGACCCTTAGTAGAGGCAGAACACCACCCTGCTCAGGCCTGGAAGCACAGATGCTTTTCCTCCAAAGGAATGTGTGTATGCTTTTGTCCAAGGGCACATTTACAAATGGCAAGCTTATCTTCTGATGCCATAAAACACCAAAAGCTGTGTAGAAATTACTGGAACTCCTATCTGTAGTCTCTGCAAGATACTGCTCAGGTGATAATGCAATCACTGACAGCAATGACAATCTGGGAAATCCTTGCTTTACAACCTTGATAATTTGGCTTTGAATGGAAACAAATGCGACAGGTAGAACTCTTGCTCAGATCCCTTTGCTGAAGCCAGAGCCAACAAGGCTAGTGCTTTTCTTTGGAAAGGGTCTTAAGTAGGTCTTCGCATTTGGGAAGGTCAGGCAAGTCTCTTAGAGCCGATTTCTGAACGGAGACTCACAGACGCACATAGTCACACCCTCGCAGCCAGAGACATGTGGACCTGGAGGGCTGGAGGGACTCAGCTGCCTTGGTCCTTAGGAGGTTTCAGAACCGCCGTGCTGAGGCCCAGCTGGCGAGGGCAGGACACACACACACACACACACACACACACACACACACACACACAATGTGAGAGCAGAGGATTAAAGGAAAGTTAAATCTTGGGCAGGGCATTCTGTCCGGCAAAGAACAGGAGGTAAATACAAGACACGTGGGCCTTCAGTATCCTGTGAGTGGAGTGAAGGCAACGCTTAAGATACCACACCACCGCGCAGCTCCGCCTGTACACAAGATGCCCCCTTGTCACTGGGCAGCCAACTGCTGGATCCCCTGCTTATATTTGCACCCAAGCAGAGGAAGCCACCCCAATGCTAGAAGGAAAGAAAATGATTGCCCAGAAATTCAATGGAAGCCTTTCTTAATGCCTCAGTGGTTGCGAACACAGATAATAGGCGGAGGCCCACTCAGTTTGAGGCCTGGCAATGCCATAGCTCAGTTAATTTATCTTATCTGTGAAATGGGGTAATCATAGAACATATCTCATCCCAAGGGTGGGTGGGTGGATGGAATGAGATGATCTTGGTGCAGAGCTTAGCACTGTGCCCTGGTAAGCCTGGATAAGCATGAGCTGCTCTCTTAGGTTGGGTTTCCCAGTCACTGACCTGAGAACATAATTGCAGCGCAAGTAGTTGATATGGAAAGGGATGCTGGTCCCATGAGGAAGAGAGTGAGGAAGTGAGGCAGGGAAGGGAAGGTGGCTTTCAGCACTTACCACCATGAGCACTGGGGCTGCCTCCCACTGGGGATTTCTGAATGTCACCTAATGTGAGACAGGCCCCAGAGCAGTCCCACCTGAGGGCTGTGGAGTTGGATACTTATCCACCTGCTCACATCCTGGCCAGGGGCTGCTCCCAGGGTGTCCCGTCCCCAGCCCTACCCACCTGCAGGGCAAAGAGCCACCATGGGAACCGTGAGCCTCTGGGGGACATGGGCAGGACAGGGACAGCATCTGCTACAACTGTCCTTGTTTTTCTGACTCCTGTCCTGGAGAGACAAGAGCTGGGCTTTGGAACCACCCAGATCTTAGCCTATAGCTGCTCATCACTGCCTTTTATAGCTAGGTGGCCCCTTTGCCTCTTTGGGCCTCTGTTTCCACATCTCTTAAAATAGAAACAATTCTCTAATGCAGCAGAATTCGTTTTGAGGACTATGTGCGACAGTGGCCATACAGAAGCAGGCACATAGTAGGTGCTTGGCCACTGTGAGCCACCTTACTCACCAGTTCGAATCAGTTCCGGCTCTCCCACTTGCCTGTGATCCTTACTCTGTTTCTAGTCCCAGGGTGAGACCAGGCAGGCACCAGACCTTCTTTCCACGTGAGCAGGGACAAGCTGACATCCACACTAGTGCTTGCCTCCGAGGTGACTTCTGAGTGACAGGCTGCTGCAGTGATCTCACATGCTGTGTATTATCATCCTATTTCCCCTTTAGCTTCGAGCGTCGTCAGTCTGTGGCTTTCATCAGATCCAGGCAGGGTAGAATAACTGCCTGGCCTGACGGTGGCGGAGCCAGCCGGGAGTGGAATCCCAGCGGGAAGAACTTCAGACCCTTGCAGCTTCCCTGGCAGGCAGTGGCGTGTGGGCAGATCTGGGGGCTTCTGCTGAGTCAGGCTATGTGTGAGTGTTGGGACTGGGGAGGGGGTGGGGGGCACCGGACGACATCAGGATGCCCAGTGAAATTTACATTTCAGATAAACAAGAAAAAAACCTCTTCTGTACAGTCTGTGAAATACTTGGGCCGTGCTTATACTAAAAAGTTATATAGTGTTAATCTGAAATTCAAATTTCACTGGGCCTCTGACATTTTTATTACCTAAATCTGGCAACCCTACTCTGGTGGGAACAGAGAACAAACCTCCTGGGAGGTCTGGGTTACAAACCAGCACAGCAACCTCCCACTCGCCGGCAGGCAAAGGCCAGTGTGGAGCTACTGCCTGCCCCTACGTGGCCTCCCCTGGGATCCCCCTCCAGGGCCCGTTAAAGCCCTCATGGGAGTCATTTTTGCCTGAAAAGATTGTTTAACTACACAGCAGGGTCAGTTACAGATTCACTCTCACCACACTCACCTGTGTAAAGAAAACACGATTCTTTATTCTTAGGCGCCTCCACACGATGTGGTAAAAACAGAGCAGCAGCAAACTGTGCATGTGTTGGGTTGGGTTCCCTGGAAGTAGAGCCTGAGACCCAGGCTCCAGTGCCCCTGACCTGGTGAAGGAAGCAGGAGAGAGCAGGGGAGGGGCTGAGAGGTGTGGACCAGGGGCACTCAACTTCTGCCTGACCCTCTCGGGGCTCGGGAGCCGGGATGGTACCAGGGAGTTGGCTCCACCTTGAGACAAGGGGGTTAGGGTTTTGTGCTTCCACATCTGCAGGCCATTAGCTGCCTTCAGGCAGAGGGCTGGGCCTTGCAACCTCCCAGGTGTCTCCAGGTGTGGCAGCTTCCACGGCAGAGGCGACAGTCCAGAGAAAGCCACGGCCACGCATTGAGGTTCCCTGAAACACTTGTATCAGCTGAGTGTACCCGCTGGTCAAGGAGACCTGGGCATGGCACCAGCAGCACCCACTATGCTCTGTCTCCATGCAATGTGATAGTCAGATTCTCTCCGGGCTGCATTCAAGGGTCCCTATTAGGAGGTGCGCTCTCCTTAGGGACTGTTCTGCCCCTTGCCGTCCTTCCTAAAGGGTGGTGGCTGCCAGGTGGGGGTGTGGAGACAGGTGCTGTGTCTTCAGGGCAGTGGAAGAGGGGATTTTGAATACCCATGGAATCTGCAGGATGACAATGGCCTGAGCTTATGTGGCCACTGGAATCTGTTCCCTGCCGTGGAGGGGCGAGCAGCCCTTTTTGTTTTTTAGGGCTATCTTTAGTACACACTGCTGCAGCCTGTGGCCTGGTCATTTGCCCATGGTTGTGAGGTCCCTATGCATGGGACTTCTTCATCCTGACTCCAGGCTTCAGTTCACCCATCAGACCTTAAAGCATCTTCTGCCCTATCTTGCCCTGGGCTTCTTGGTGCCAAAAGACAAGGGCACTGCCTCAAGCTTATCTTCCCAGACACTGTTTACTGCTGCTACCCTGTTGCCCACGACACTTCCGAAGTGACCATTGTTGTCATCTCCTGCCACGTCCCGGAAGGCAAGCCACCAAGTCCCATGCACCATTCCCACAGCCCAACCACCTTCCCGACTCTACCCTCTGGAATCTGAAGAGTCTGCCCACTTCTGGGTTTTTGTTCAGGTAGGAAAGTTCAAGCCCCGTGCCCATGAACATTCATCTTTCTTTTCTCTTCCACCTTCCCTGGGAAGGTAGCGTGGATACTGAGGTGAGCCTTCTTCCTCTTTCTAGAATCCATGGGGCACAAAAGGTAGACTCCCCCTTCCTCTCTTCTGGGGAAACTCCTCCCTCCCCAGATGACATTGCTTTCCCCTTCTCTGTGGGGTTATAATGGCAGAGAGAGGTGGGATGAAAATGCTTAACTCACAAGGGGGTGTACATTGAGAGGTAGTTACAGTGCCCCTATGTATAGCAGCATTAGTCACAAAAGCCAAAGGTAGTAGCAGCCCAGGTGCCCACGACGGATGAATGGAGGAGCAACATGTGGTATATACAGCAGAATGTTGTTTAGCCTTGGAAAGAGGAACAATCCTGGCTGGGCATGGTGGCTCATGCCTGTAATCCTAAATATTTTGAGAGATCAAGGAGGGAGGATTGCTTCAGACCAGGAGTTCAAGACCAGCCATGGCAACTTAGGGAGACCAGAGCTCTACAAAAAATTTAAAAAATTAGCTGAGCGTGGTGGTGCACATCTGTAGTCCCAGCTACTCGGGAGGCTGAGGTGGGAGGATGGAGGATCACTTGACCCTGGAGTTCAAGGCTGCAGTGAGCTATGATTGCACTCCAGCGTGGTGGCAGAGCAAAAGTCCGTTTTAAAAAGAGAGACACAGAGAGAGAGAGAGAGAAATCCTGTCACATGGATGTACCTTGAGGATATCATACCTAGTACAATAGGCCAGTCACCAAAAGACAACTCCTGTGTTATTCCACTTCCATAAGGCATGTAGAGTAGTCAGCTTCATAAAGACAGAAAGTAGAATGATGTTTGTCAGGGGCTAGGAGGAGGGAATATGTTCTGAAGATTGGCACAACAACATGAATATATTGAACATGACTGCATGGTACACTTGAAGATGACAGAGATAGTCCAGGGACAGTGGCTCATGCCTATAATCCCAACACTTTGGGAGGCAGAGGCAGGAGGATTACTTAAGGCCAGGAGTTTGAGACCAGCCTGGGTGATATAGCAAGACCCCATCCTTACAAAAAAATTAAAAAATTAACAAGCATGGTGGCTCATGCCTGTAGTCCCAGCTACTTACCAGGTTGAAGCCAGAGGATTGCTTGAACACAGGAGTTCGAGACCACAGTGAGCTATGATCAGGCCATTGCACTCCAGCCAAGGTGACAGAGTGGGACCCTGTCTCTAAAAAAAACATAAAAATAAAAAGGGTTAAGGTGGCAAAAGTTTAAGTCGTATATTTTACCACAATTAAAAATAAAAAGTGGGCTGGGTACAGTGGCTCACGTTTATAATCCTAGCACTTTGGGAGGCCGAGGTGGGCAGATCCCCTGAGATCAGGAGTTTGAGATAAGCCTGGCCTCTACTAAACATAGAAAAATTAGCCAGCATGGTGGTAGGCGCCTATAATCCCAGGTACTCTGGAGGCTTGGGCATGAGAATTGCTTGAACCCGAGAGGCAGAGATTGCAGTGAGCCGAGATCATACCACTGCTCTCCGGACTGGGTGACAGAGCAAGACTCCATCTCAAAAGAAAAAAAAAGTGAAAAAAAAAATTCATCGGTTACAAGTGCAGATGTCTGGTTCATGGAGGGTGAACTAATACATCTGTCCATTCTTTCTATGAATTATTCTACTTCATCAGCTCCTGTTCCTTTGCAGAGAACAGGACCCCAAAAGGGAAGAGAATATTTTCATGAAGGAAAAATGCAACCAGAAATAGTCCCATCTAGAACCACTATCAGACAAGTATGTCCACCCTAGATAGGATTTTATAGACAGGGGACAATTCTATTCACAAAGGTTGGGAGACAGAGTCATGGGGCAAGAAAGGTGGAGGCTGGACAAGCTGGCTTCTCCGTGGCTGGCTGCAGTTGGTCTTGGTTGTAGGCACGGTGATCTTCGTACTCATCCGTAAAGCTTACTTGGAATTGCCAAGTAATAGGCCAGAAGTCCTAGGGAATTAAAAAAAAATTTTTTTTAATGGTCAATGTGATGCCTCTTTTGTATATTACAGAACATTCCTAGTTGGGCCTGGCTCAGCACCCGGTAAACCCATTAATATTCCTGTGGCGGAGTGTGTAAATATTCACACTAACTGAGATAATAAAGACTATAAATAGCATCATGGCAGTTCCGGCCAGGGTTTGCTGCCAAGTAAGTCTCCCCGCCCTGCGCCCCCCAAAAAATTTCTGGATTTCAGAGCCTTCTGGAAATGAAAATGGTAGCTTAGGGATTGTGGACTTGTATGAATTTTGTACCATCTAGAGACTGTAAATGAACAGAGACAGAATGTAGGAAGGAACCAGAAGGATGAGGTGAACTAATTTTATTTTTCAAAAAAGTGGAGGTGACTGGCCCCCGGTCGCTCTGCTGATCATTGGTGGAGCTAAGGTCAGACAGGGTCTCCGGCCCTCAGCCTAGCTCCTCCAGCAGGAGGAAACAGGAACCTCCAGACCCAGAGTCCATGAAGCTGAACTGCCCTTTCCTTCCTAGTTCCCTGAAAAAGTGAGCCCTGCCTTTGGGAATTCCCCCTTACGGCTAGTACGCTGTGTGGTGTGCCCTACGATGGGCTGGTTCTGTTGTCCCTGGGAGAGGCGTCTGCAGAACATATTGTCCCAAGGGTTCATGCACTTAGCTCAAGGCCTTGCATACAGATGGCGCTCAGTGAATGTTCGAGGAACTGCTAAATGCATTTGGTTATTTATCAGCTGTAGACCCATCAAGATAAGGATGGTAATCAAAGGGCTATATGTAAGACAGCCACAAGGAGCAGAGAAAGAAAAGATCTTGCTCCCCATTGCAGAATCTGAGCTAATGGCAAGGAAGGCAAACGCTACTTTATTTTTGAACAATGAGCATTAATGGTCATCAGGAAATGATGCCTAAGCCACGGGCCCGACCCCGCCCCAGCCCTCTCGGTACTTGTTGGATGAGTGAGTGTGTCCATGAGTATGAGGAGTCATTCGTTAGAATTCTGTTATAAAAGGTGCAATGCCAGCTGAAAATGAAGTAAGCAAAAATGCCTATTTGGCTTATTTTGCCTGATACAATTGAAAAGTCCAAGGGTAGATGCCTTGAGGCATGTCTAAATCCAGGTTTGCAAATGATGACTGGGGAGTCTGTCCCTTCCCTTCTCTCAGAGCTGCTCTCCTCCATGCTGGCTTCTTTCCGAGGTGAGCTCCGCAAGTGTGGCGACCACGGCCGCAGCAGGCTCACGAGAAAGTAACTCATATGGCCCGAGAAGGTGACAGGTGATCACATGCCCACGCCCGGACATGTGGTGAGTGTGGTGCATCGTGAAAGGTAGTTCCTGGGTGGACTGTACAACATGGAGCCCTGTGGAAGCTCTTGAGGGCATGAGCTTCCAGCCAAAGTGGGGACCGTTTCTCTTTCCAATGTGTGAGTGCAGCCCGCGGGGTCTCCGTGAACTCTTAACAGCCTAGGTGGGGGCCCTTTTAGATGGCCAAGTGCTTAAGCTGTCCATAATGCACCCAATCCTGCAGCTCACCCAGGTTAGAAAAGGGATGCCTTAGAAGAGGGGTGCTCCCCTGGGGAGACAGCGAACTGAGTGCTTTGCCAGGTGCATGATCTGTTCTTTTTTTTTTTTTTGAGATGGAGTTTCATTCTTGTCACCCAGGTTGGAATGCAATGGCTCGATCTTGGCTCATTGCAACCTCTGCCTTCCTCGTTCAAGCGATTCTCCTGCCTCAGCCTCCCAGGTAGCTCAGATTACAGGCGCCCGCCACCATGTCCAGCTAATCTTTGTATTTTTAGTAGAGACAGGGTTTCTCCATGTTGGCCAGACTGGTCTTGAACTCCTGACCTCAGGTGATCCTGCTGCCTTGGGCTCCCAGAGTGTTGGGATTACAGGTGTGAGCCACCGCGCCCGACCCAGGTGCATGGTTTTGAACAGGTCATTTACTTCCTTGGGCCTTGTTTTTCTTATAGGAGAAAAGAGGAGTTTAGGCTAAATTAGAGAAGGATTTTGGGGAGCACAACAGGGACATGGGGATGGCATCATGTACTGGGGTGCTTTAGTGCCCTCTTCTCATTCCCAAGTCAACAGAATATAATTCTGCTTTGATCTACTTTATATAAAGGAATTCCAGGTAACATTTCCTTTGAAGTAAAGATCCCTTTTTTTTTAATTAAAAAAAAAAAAAGAAGGAGCAGGTTGTCATTGAGGTCTGCATGCTCTGAAGTTCTCTGACTTCAAAGCCATTGGGGTCATAGTTGTCTTCGTATTGATGGCTAATGAGGACATGATGCACCTGGTGATTTGGGGGTAGACACTGCCTGGGAGCTGTGAGCTGCGCCATATGGCAGCACAGATGCTGCAGATCCCACCATAAAGGGCCGTTTAGCTGGAAGCCCCTCATCCCAGCAAAGCTGCTTGGAATTTTATCAGATAGAAGCGAAGGACAAGATGTGGTTCTCCAATGTTGCAACATACTTGAGTCACTTGGGGAGTTTTTAAGACTTCTGATGTCCAGGCCATACCCTGTGCTAATCAAATCAAACTCTGGAGGTGGGATCCAAGCATGAGGAATTTGTAACTCTCCCCATGTGAGGCCTAATGTGCTGTCAAGTTTAAGAATAAGTGCCGCTGGAAAACAGTATGGCAATCCCTCAAACAATTAAAATAGAATTACCATAAGATCCAGCAATTTCACCCCTGGGTATATACCCAAAAGAATTGAATGCAGGTTCTCAAAGAGATATTTGTGTATCCATGTTCATAGCAGTATTATTCACAGCAGCCATAAGGTGGGAGCCACCCAAACGTCTATCAATAGATGAAGAATAGACAAAACTGTGTTGTGTACATACAATAGAATATTGCTCAGCCTTAAAAAGGCAGGACACTCTGAGACGTGCTGCAGCATGGATGAACCTTGAGAGCAGTATGTGTTGGAGATGAATACTCAGTGCTGCAAAGAAAAATTCGCTCCAAGACAAAGGATTTGTGAAATAAGCCAGACACAGAAGGACAGATACTGTAAAATACCACTTAAACATTTCTTCTTTTTAAGTTCTCCGCAGGGCAAGTCACACACAGTTCCACTTAGAGGAGGTATCTAGAGTAGTGAACTTCATAGAAACAGAAAGGCAGGATACTGGCTGCCGGCGGAGACTTGCTGTTTAGTGGGTTTGGAGTTTCAGTTCTGCAAGCTGGAAAGCGTTCTGGAGACTGGTTGCACAGCAACGTGAACGCACTGAACACCACTGAAGGGCGCACTTCAGAACGGTTGAAATGGGACATTCTGTGTTAGGTGTATTTTACCACAGTTACTACAATAACCTGAAAAGAGTAAGTGGCATCATGAATGTCTTGCTAGGGAAACTGAGGTCTGTGGGCCAGCAGCATCACATCTCCTTGGAGATGGTCACACACGCAGCATCTGAGGCCCGGCCCAGACCCGCTGAGTCAGCACCTGCATTTTTTAACCAAAAAACCCCAGGTGGTTCGTGTACTCACTCAGTTTTGAGAAGTGCTAGTTGTAAAAAACCGAATATTAGACCAGGGTTTAGAAGATTAGAAGACGGAGCAGACGTTGTTTGCCTACCCAGCATTCATTTCTTCTCTTCTTCCTTCCTTCTTAGAGAAACTGACATTCTGTGAGTAGCCTCATGTTTCAGAGGGGTCTCACCTCATCCACACCCCCATAACCCCATAGCAGTCCCACTCCCCCGGCCAGTGATTGCTTTACAGGTGGACATATTGCCTGGTTCTGGCCAATGAAACTGAAGGAAGTTCTGCTGGAGAGTTTCTGGGAGAGGTTGCCTCCCCTTAAGGATACCCAAGAAGGAAAAGGCTTCTTCTTCCTTTGGAAGTTTTTTTCTTCTTCTTTTTCTTCCTTTTTTTTTTTTTTTTTTGAGATGGAGTCTCTCTCCATTGCCCAGGCTGGAGTGAGTGGCATGATCTTGGCTCACTGCAACCTCCACCTCCCAGGTTCAAGTGATTCTCCTGCCTCAGCCTTTCGAGTAGCTGGGATTACAGGTGAATGCCACCACGCCCAGCTAAGTTTTCTGTTTTTAGTGGAGATAGGGTTTTACCATGTTGGCCAGGCTGGTCTTGAACTCCTGACCTCCAGTGATCCAACCGCCTTGGCCTCCCAAAGTGCTGGGATTACAAGCGTGAAACACCACACCCGGCCCCTTTGGAAGTCTGCACATTGGAATGGGACCCCAGCAAAATCTTGGGACCTTTGGAGCAGCTAGCCTGGCCCTTGTTCACACAGAGTCATTGTCTGATAAGATCCTGGATCCGCCTCATCAAAGGGTTTCTTGTTATGTGAGATTAGAAATGTATTTACTGTTTCAGACCACGTGAGGCAGGATTTTCCATTACTTATAGCCCAGGGTTTCTATGCTATTAACGCAGGGTCCACGCTATTGACATCCAGGGCCAGATAATTCTTTGTTGTGAGGCAGTTGAGTGCATGGCAGAATTCTTAGCCGTGTCCTTGGCCTCTGCCCTTTAGAGCAACTAGTCCTTCCACCTCTCCCAGGTGTGACAACTCAGGTGCCTCTGGACATTGCCAATGTTGCCTGGGGAGGTGGGGGCAATGACCCCTGTTGAGCACCACTGTTGCAGCCAAAGGGGTTGGAAAGAATGTGAAGACCTTTTTATTCTGACCCCCGATGTTGCTGGGGAGCCTCAGGAAGGCAAAAATTGCTGCCTGTGTCCCCGCCCCAGATGTGTTGCAAGGATCAAAGTGAGATCAGGTGTGTGAGAAAAGCAAACACCTTCAAGGTGTTACTAACCATTACCCGTCTTTGATGCTGCTGGTGCATTGATAGCAATGTTGTAGTTTCCATTTATTCTTAGAAGATTTCATAGGCAGAGATGTTTAACTTAACAGATGGCCAGCATGGATAGTGAATGGAATTTTCCCTCAGCAAAGGCGGAGCAGCTCATGAGAATTTCAGGCTTTTCCTTGCTCAGAAATTCTGGATTCCCGCTCAATTCATCAATGCTAATTCTCAATCCCAAATTCATGGTCCCATAAAGCCATGGATGCTGAGGTGTTCCCCTGTTCACACCTGAGATACACACCATCTGTATGAAACACTGTATTTATGAAACACATTTTCACAGATGAAGAGAGAGCTTCCTATTTACCTGCTGAAGAGAGGTTGATGCCCTCAGCTCACACATCTGTGGATTCAAGACCCACAGAGTCAGAGGACCCTGAACAACCTCTCATGTCTTTTGCTCTCCTTCCTAGGCCACTTTTCTTTTCTTGTCTTTTTTTTTTGAGACAGAGTCTGACTCTGTCACCCAGGCTGGAGTGCAATGGAGCGATCTCAGATCACTGCAATCTCCACCTCCTGATTTCAAGTGATTCTCCTGACTCAGCCTCCTGAGTAGCTGGGATTACAGGCGGGTGCCACTATGCCTGGCTAATTTTTCCTATTTTTAGTAGAGACAGGGTTTTGCCATGTTAGCTAGGATGGTCTCCATCTCCTGACCTCGTAATCTGCCTGCCTGGGCCTTCCAAAGTGCAGGGATTACAGACATGAGCCACTGCATCTGGCTCACGGCCACTTTTCTCAGGAGCCCCCTTACTTCCAAAATTAGTGCCTTCGGATTTATCTCTTCTGGGAGAGTTCAGTGTCTTCTGAAGGGTTATAAAATGTCCTTCTGTCCAGCAGCAAGAAGGCATATACAAGGAGCTCAACCTTATAGAAAGATGGAGGAGAATTGGGAGAGTGGGACTGGAGAGGGGACAGGGCTGTGAAAGGGAGGTGCTGGGTGCACCGATTGTTTATGTCATCAAATGCTTGCCACGCCCTCAGCAGTGGGGCTGTTTGTGAGAGGTAGGAACAAAGGCCATCAGGAGGCTGCTACAGCCCCTGAGGGCTTCATGATCTACTGGGGAATGTGTGGAGGACTTTGGGTCATTCCTGTAACATAGTCCCATATTATGGTATGGGGTACCTGTCCCCAAGAACAGGATAACTGTCTCAATTTTGATTCCCCCATCCCCACACCTGCAGACCATGAGCTTTTAGGCACACTGACTCCCTTGCTGAACCCAGAGGTCGAACACACATATCAGACCATAGTTTTTGTTTTAGGGGTTGGCACATTACAATTTGAACCAGAGAGCACATTTGTTGGGGGCCTCTAGGAAAAGACAGCTTTGTGTTTCTTTGGGGGAAAGGGTTGTGCCTTGCAAAAGTGATGTTGCAGCCCTGTTACTTCCACAAAGGAATTAAGCTGAGGACTGAGCCGATTCACAGAGGAAGGCTGAGTCGAGAGAGCTGCTGGGAAATCAGGCTGGAGCCTTGCTTAAGTCACGTCTGATCGACCTCTGGACTTTTCAGTAGCATGTGCTAATAACACCTCCTTATCGTGTAAACTGATTTACACTGGGTTTTCTGTTACTTTCTTCGTAAACTGTCCAAACTGTCACAGAATTTTGTGCCAGGAAGGGAATGCTACAAGGAACAAACCTTAAATGTGGGTTGGTTGAGAAGAGACAGACCTTAAATACGGATTAGTTGAGAAGCGATATTCAGGCGGACCGAAGCAAAGATGGCGCTGTGAAAATAGGGAGACAGCAGTGGGCACGACGGATCACACCTATAATCCCAGCACTTTGGGAGACTGAGGTGGGCAGATCATTTGAGGGCAGGAGTTCGAGACCAGCCTGGTCAACATGGTGAAACCTCATCTCTACTAAAAATACAAACATTAGCTGGGCGTGGTGGCACGTGCCTGTAATCTCAGCTACTTGCGAGGCTGAAAAAGGAGAATCGCTTTAACCCAGGAGGCAGAGGGTGCAGTGAGCCGAGATCATGCCATTGTACTCCAGCCTGGGGAACAAGAGCGAAACTTCATCTCGAAAACAAAACAAAACAAACAAAAAACAACTAGGAAGACGGCAACCCTCACTTAACAAAATGGACGGCCAGTCGTGCTGGGACGCAGACCTAATACTTATGGAGCCTATAATATTTCGAGATCTTCCAGGAAATATTCAGGATGTTGGCTACCTCTGGCAGTCTTCATTAAGGTCCTAGGAGACTCCGCTCCTGGGAGATAGTGGTCCATTTGAAAGTGCAGAGGAATGAAAATAGCTTTGCTAAGAGAGAGTCTTTTCGCCTGGGGCCTGCAATCCCAAGTTGCTGGAAATCGATGAGCAGGTCCTGCTGGTTGGGAAACCTGCTTTATCTGGCTGAAGTTGGAGCATAAGCAGCAAAGGAGGTGATGGAAGCAAAAGCCACCTTCTCTTCCTTCTTTCGAGGTGGAGTTGGTGAGGCCGACAAGCGCTGGAGCACCCCTTTCACCACCATGAGGGGAGCCAAGCAGGAATAAAGCCAACACGAGGAGGAAAAGCCGGAGAATCCCCGAGGAGTGGAGCCGCGACCCATTCCCATCTCTGGGCTTTGGATTTCTAGAACGTGTTCTTTACGATTTGAGCCGGTTTGAAGTTTCTAGAGAGTTTTCGCTATATAGAATGTGATAAACACTGAAAAGCATGACGGCAAGTTGGGGGGTTAAGAGAGAAGGTGGATTAATTAGCAGAGAGAGGCAAGTTGTTGCTTCAGGTATTTAGGGTAGGGTGAGTGGGAAAGATCCCGCTGCAGTTCTTAATATGAAGCACACCCTTTTCGTGGAAATGTATTCGATTCATCTGTGGCCATCATTATGCTTCACTTTGTCCATCCAGGTAGAAATGGATGTGTGAAGGCCTTAGTGAAGCCCAGTGCACCTACATTTAGCAGAGCCCAGGAAATGCTGGGTGATGGAAGGAATTCTGCCATCTGTTGCCCCAGTCCTTTGGTGGGCTGAGGGGGTTCCCCAGTGTCCACGCACACTGGGAGCAGTCAGGTATCTGCTAATCCTCCTCTCTCCTCACTGCTGTCACAGGAGATGGACCACACGTCTCCCAGGCTGAGAGTCTTCCTCTCTGAACCCATGGGAGAAAAGGATGTCTCCTGGGTGGATGGCATCAGCCATGAGCTTGCAATCAATTTGGTCAACAAAGGTATCAACAAGGTAATTCATTTTTTCTTACTTCTCTAACTTCTCTTCCCTACCTCTTTTTCCCCAGTCCTGAGAGATGGCAGTTCCTGCCATGTGTCCCTATGAAGGGCCATTAGAGAGGAAAGCTGCCACTTGGCAGGATGCCACATTCTTTCATGCTACTGACCCCACATGGTTGAGCAGCCTCAAGGGCCTGCAGATGATGGGCACACACCGTAGAATGGCTTCAGTTCAGAGCAGCTGGGCTGGACATGATTCACTTGGTGTTCAAACACTCAGGGGTCATCAGAAGCAGGTCAGCAGCCAGGGTCTGAGACAGCGCTGTCAGAATGCGTGATTTAGGTGCACTCCACACCCCCCTGAAGGAACCCATGGTGTCTCACTTGCCCCTGCCAGGGCACCAGCCTGGCAATGGCAGGTGGAGAAACAGCAGCCTGGGGTCTACACCAGAGTGAGTTTATCTATCAAGTCATTCCCAGCCCAAGAATGACCACAAGGTAGCCAGTGGAATTGGAATATTCTTTTCTATGTCATTGTTTGTTTTTATGGGGCTTTTAAAAAGCGACTTGAAGCCAGTCCCAAAGACAACTCGAAGACAGTGAGCACAGATGAGGCAGGCTGTGAACTCTCAGAACATGGCACGCTCGCTCAGCAGAGGCACCAAGTAGAGCTACGCCCCTTGGTGCCCCAAGTCAACCCACTCCACCAGGTAGGACAGTGTTACAGAAACATGCAAAGAGGCTGGGAACTGCTGCACGTACGGCTGATGACTAGCTTGGTTTGCATCTAAATCTGAACCGTGTGACCCGTGGTTTTCTGATTACCCCACTGCTTTGCACTAAATATTCGGAATAACACCCCAATCTGAGAGCCAGCTTAATGTCCAGCAGATGGTATCATCAGAAACGGAAGCTCCCCTATTGGGTAGATTGGATTCTTTCTTCCCAGATGAAGGAGGCAGAACCATTCCCTGGAAAACATATTTTAAGAGAAAAAATGTTTTGCTTTTATTATTAATTAATTTATTTAAGACAGGGTCTCACTCTATTGCTCAGGCTGAGTGCAGTGGTGCCATCTCGGCTCACTGCAACCTCCGCCTCCCAGGCTCAAGTGATCCTCTCACCTCAGCCTCCCGAGTAGCTGGGACTACAGGTGTATGCCAGCACTCCTGGCTAATTTTTTCTATTTTGTTGTAGAGACAGGGTTTTGGCATGTTGCTCAGGTTGATCTCAAACTCCTGGACTCAAGTGATCCACCTACCCCGACCTCCCAAAGCACTGGGAACCACCATGCCTGGCAAAAAATTCTTTTTAAAAAAGAAATCACTGTTCCTATTACTTTTCTATTGTGATGTAACGTACCTAGGGGATTACGTGTTGCTATAAAGGCTCAGATCAATGCATTTTTACACATATATGCACACCCCTGTGCCCACTACCCAGATCCAGTGATCAGATGTCTCCAAAATTCCAGATGATTCTCTTGTGCCTCTTCTTGGCCAAGGCCATCCCCTGTCCTTAGACGGAACCACTCTTCTGGTATAGAACACCATTGATTAAATGTGTCCCTAATTGTGGGGTTTTGTTGTTGTTGCTCAGTTCTACTCATTATTTAAAAAATATTTGCATTAAGGTATAATTGACATACATTCTGTAAATTTCACCCTTTTTAGTCCCTTGTTCTAGAGTTTCGACAAATGCGTGCACTCATGCAGCTGCTGCCATCGTCAAGGCACAGAGCAATCCCATTACTCAAAATATGCACTTCCTTGTGCTCTTCATATTCACCAGCCTCAGTCCCTGGCAACCACTGATTTATTTTCTGTCTCTGTGGTGTTGCCTTTTCCAGTTTAAGTCTGTGTGTGTGTGAATAGCTCAACTGTGTTTTAAATGAGGATTATAGGTGGGTGGGTTTTAGAAGAAAAAATGAATGAATAATGGGAAAATGTCAGGCATCTGAGAACTTGTCTGCAGAGTCAGGGCTGTGGGGATGGTTTGTCTGTGTGCAGCCGGGTCCCTGGAGACGTGCCCCTCTTGTGTCCATGACCTCCTGTGCAGTGAGCACTTTCCTGGAGCTGCTAATTCCAGGCATTGGCACTGGGGCTCTCACCTGTATCCTTTGCTTTGAGCTACCCACACCTGTGATTGAGATGAGGGTCGCTCTCTCCACTTTACCAATGAGGAGACAAGGGCTCCAGGGAGTAGTGCCTTGTCCGGTCCCAGCTGAGGACTGGAGCAGCCGTGGATTGTACTGTCACAAATTGCACACGAAGATCCATGGTCAGGTGGTTACACCCGGCAGGAAGGAGACTTAGACTAAATTTGGTGGTGAGACCCTGCATCAGGGTCTGTAGTGAGACCCAGGAGGAGACCCAGTTGTGGCTCCTCCAAGATGGGCAAATGCTTCAGGGTGAGGACCCATCTGAAGTCAGGGCCAACAATGACAGTATCCCGGGCAGGGATATCGTGGCAGGACAGGGGTCTCAGACTGAGATAAAGATGCTGGCTCTTGGTGGTTTTCATTTTGTTTTGATTTTGGTTTTGTTTTGAGACAGAGTCTCAGTGTATCACCCAGGCTGGAGTGCAGTGATGTGATCCCAGCTCACTGCAACCTCCTCATCCTGGGCTCAGTCTCCCACCTCAGCCTCCCAAGTAGCTAGGACTAGAGGCCACCATGCCCACTAAATTTTGTGTGTTTTTGTAGAGACAGGATTTTGCCACATTGTCCAGGCTGGTCTCAGCTCCTGGGCTCAAGTGATCTTCCCAAAACAAAGTGCTGGGATTACAGGCGTGAGCCACCACACCCAGCCTCTTATATTTTCATACTTTGCTGGCAGGGGGCCTAATCCTGGCAGAGGGAAGAACATCTTTCTGGGGCTCAAGCGACCTCCTGCCTTGCTGGCTTCTGCCAAAGTGCAGCCATCACCCTCCCCTGCTCCCCGTCCCACACCAGGCTGGGGCTCAGCCTCAGTTTCCTTGCTGTGCACAAAGCCACCTTGGGTTCCACTCTTGCTTGTGACAGCATACCTGGCCTGGTTTTATGGGCTCCATTCATTGAGCACTTTCTGCACCCTCCCTGAGCACCTGCTGGGATGCAGGCCCATGGGCCACGCTCACACCTACCTCCCTGGGCTCCTCACTCAGCCATCGGCTCTCTCCAAAGACCCCAGTGTGCCGGATGCCTTGGGGGAGATGAGATACCAGCGCCCTCCCCTCTCTGATTTATCTGGGTGTCCTATTACCTCTCTGGGAGGCCCCTTCTCAAACTCTCACCAGCCCCTACATCGGGTACCTTCTCCTCCATTCCTCCTCTTGCACAGGTCTTTCAGCGTTTTTTGTTTTGTTTTTTGTTTTTTGAGATGCAGTCTCTCTCTGTCACCCAGGCTGGAGTGCAGTGGTGCAATCTGGGCTCACTGCAACCTCCACCTCCTGGGTTCAAGTGATTCTCCTGCTTCAGCCTACTGAGTAGCTGAGACTACAGGCGAGTGCCACCTTGCCTGGCTCATTTTTGTGTTTTTAGTAGAGACAGTGTTTCAGCATCTTGGCCAGGCTGGTCTTGAACTCCTGACCTTGTGATCCACCCACCTGGGACTACCAAAGTGCTGGGATTACCAGTGTGAGCCACCGTGCCCGACCTCTTTCACCTTTTTTTTTTTTTAATAGAAGACGTGGGGTGCTGAGAGGGGACTGTTCTTACTGCCTGTCCCCATTTTCCCCAGAGCTTTGGCTTATGGCATGAACTGGTCTCTGGCTCCCAGTTTAAGTCACAACTTTCAAAACTATTGATTCTGCCATGGATCTACCTAAGCCTCTTCAGAAGCTTAAAAGCCATATGTGTTGGCCTTTTTCTGTGTTTTTTTTTTTTTTTTTTTTTTTTTCTTTTTTTTTGTATCTGCCCTTCTGGGGGGCAGTCATTTGTGGCCTGAGCATCTAGATTCAGACAGCAGCCACAGGTGCCTGTGCCCTTGTCCGAACCGAGATGTACTAGAAATATAAAACACACCCTGCAATGTTAAAGACTTAGCCCAAAAAAGAATGTAAAACAGCTCATCTGTAATTTTTTAATTGATTACATGTTGAAATGATAATATTTTGGAAACATGGGAGAAAATACATTATTGGAATGAATTTCACCTGTTTCCTTCCCCCCTTTTACTGTAGCTACTAGGAAAATCAACATCACATATGTGGCTGGCTCACTTATTTCTGCTGGGCAGCACTGCTCTAGATGTAAGGGAGAAAGAGTTTTTGTTTGTTTGTTTGTTTGTTTGTTTGAGACGGAGTTTCGCTCTTGTTACCCAGGCTGGAGTGCAATGGCGCGATCTCAGCTCACCGCAACCTCCGCCTCCTGGGTTCAGGCAATTCTCCTGCCTCAGCCTCCTGAGTAGCTGGGATTACAGGCACGTGCCACCGTGCTCAGCTAATTTTTTGTATTTTTAGTAGAGATGGGGTTTCACCTTGTTGACCAGGATGGTCTCGATCTCTTGACCTCGTGATCCACCCGCCTTGGCCTCCCAAAGTGCTGGGATTACAGGCTTGAGCCATGGCGCCCGGCCTGGAGAAAGAGTTTTAAGGGAGAAAGGAACTACGGGAACAGGGAATCCGTGGTAGGTGGGGCGTGGTGGCTCACGCCTGCAATTCCAGCACTTTGGGAGGCCGAGGCAGGCAGATCACGAGGTCAAGAGATGAAGACCATCCTGGCCAACATAGTGAAACCCTGTCTCTACTAAAACATAAAAATTAGCTGGGCATGGTGGCGCGTGTCTGTAGTCCCAGCTACTCGGGCAGCTGAGGCAGGAGCATTGCTTGAACCCGGGACGCGGAGGTTGCAGTGAGCCGAGATCGCGCCATTGTACTCCAGCCTGGCACCTGGCAGTAGAGTGAGACTCTGTCTCAAAAAGAAAAAAAGAAAATCCATCGTGTATGTGGCAGTGAGGCTCTCTGTGCTTGGCTCTAGCTCTGTCTCGTGTTTGTCCTCTGCCCCATCCCTGACCCCTATACTACAGCCAGACTTTCCGTCACCCACTCTCCTGCAAACCTGGAGCCTCTTTTGAAATGGGCTTTGATCCCCTTCAAGACCCAGTTCACAGTTCACCTCCCCTGGGGAGACATCTTTCTGCCACACCACCAACAGGCTCCTTTTTCTGAGCAGTTTGGGTTTTTGGTGGGAGCCCCAGACTGTGGCATCTCACAAAAGGTTGACTACCCAGGCATGGTGGTTCATGCCTGTAATCCTAGCTCTTTGGGAGGCCAAGTTAGGCAGATCACTTGAGGTTAGGAATTCGAGATTAGCCTGGCCCATGCCTACTAGCCTATCCCGTCTCTCTGACGCCGTCTCTACTAAAAATACAAAAATTAAGCCAGCATGGTGGTGTGCACCTGTAGTTCCAGCAACTTGGGAGGCGAAGGTGGGAGTATCACTTGAACCCAGGAGGTAGAAGTTGCAATGAGCTGAGATTGAACTCCAGCCTGGGCAAAGAGGGAGACTCTGTCTCAATTAAAAAAAAAAAAAAAAAGGTCAACTTTAGGTTTTCTGCACGTAGCCCAAGAGCCCAGACTCACAGTGTTAGAGGCACAGCTAGCCTCGGCTTTCTCCCTAAGTTCCTCGGAGGTAGGGGATGGGTCTGTGTTCTTTGTACTTCTCTATCTCTTCTTCCTGTGAAAACCCCCCCTAGGGGAAGGTGAATTTCCAGACATCCACCGAATGGGG